ACTTTTGTAACCTTTGCTCTTTGATCTGGAAAGTCCCTGTAACTTGGTTGACGACGAGTTGAGAGTCGCAACGTAGGACGAATCGCCTCGCCTCGTTGTTGAGTGCCAGTCTTATCCCTACAATAACAACCTCATACTCGGCCTCATTTTTAGTCATGTTCGGGCATCTTATGGATTGTCGAATTACTTCTCCTATCGGGACCTCGAGTACGAGTCCCAGTTTGGACCCTGATGAATTAGAGGCGCTATCGGTGTACAAAATCCATAGATCCTATATTTGAGGAGAGGTGTTAGAGGCTTCTCTTTCAACTTCAGGCATTATTTTTGCACTGAAGTCAGCAACGAAGTCGGCAAGTACTTGCAACTTTATCGTCGTTCGCGGTTGATATATGATATCATGTTCGCTTAATTCTATGGCCTATTTGGCCAATCTGCTCGATAGCTCGAGCTTATGCAAAATACTTCTCAAGGGAAAAGTCGTGACTACCGAGATGGGGTGGCACTAGAAGTAGAGTCTAAGCTTTCGTGAAGCTACGACCAAGGCCAGGGCTAGTTTTTCGAGGTGAGAGTACCTCGTCTCGGCGTCGACTAAGGTTTTTCTAATGTAATATATGAGATATTGAGTACCTTTATTTTCTCAGACCATGACTGCACTCACCGCCACTTTGGATAAGACAAGGTAGACGAGGAGGCGTTCTCCGGGCTCCACCTTGGAAAGCAGTGGCGGTGATGATAGGTAAGCCTTTAACTCCTTCAGGGCGTCGGCACTCTCGGAGGTCTATTGGAGGCCGTTGTTTTTCTTGAGTACGCCAAAGAACTTGTGGCATCTGCCAGATGATCGAGAGATGAATCTCGACAAGGTGGCTATACTGCTGGTCAGTCTCTGAACCTATTTTTTGTTGGTTAAGTTCTCCGGTATCCCCTCTATAGATTTGATTTGGTTGGGGTTGACCTCGATCCCTTGTTGTGACACCAGGAAACCCAGGAATTTCCTTGATGTCATGCCGAATGTGCATTTTTCAGGATATTTCATTCTGTATCGCCTAAGTATATTGAAGGCTTCTTTTAGGTGATTAATGTGATCCTCTTTCCTTTTGGATTTGACCAACATATCGTCTATGTAGACCTCCATGATTTGTTTTGTGTTGATCTTTGAAGATTTTCATCACCAACCTTTGATACATCGCTCCGACATTTTTCAGTCCGAAAGGCATCACCCTGTAGCAATACGTTCCTTGGTAGGTGATGAATGTGGTCTTCTCCTGGTCTTCCTCCTCCATAAGGATCTGGTTATAGCCCTAGTATGCGTCTAAGAAGCTTAACAGGTTATGCACGACTATTGCATCAATAAGCTGATCGATATGGGGTAGCGGGAATGAGTCATTTGGGCATGCTTTTTTCAAATCTGTGAAGTCTATGCACATCCGCCATTTTCCGTTCTTCTTTTTCACCATGACCACGTTGGCGATCCATTGTAGATATTTTGATTCTCTGATGGAGCCATTTTCTAGCAGTTTTTCAACCTCTTCGCGGATTGCATAGTTTATTGCAGAATTGAACTTCCGCCTAACTTGCCTTACCGGGAGTAAAATGGATCGACTTTCAACTTGTGTGTCACTATCTCCTATGGGATACCTGGCATGTCTGCGTGGGAGAAGGCGAACAAATCTGCGTTATTAGTTAAGAAATGATGGAATTTACCTGGTTCCTAAAGCTTGTGGCCGATGTAGGCTTTCTTGCTATGGTCGTTTTCATCAAGTTGGATGGGGTCGAGGTCTTCTACAGTTGATCCCGTGGCTTCTATGATTTCAGGGTCTTTGTTGACGTGGTTTCTTTCATCACTGCTCGATCTCGACCTTGTTAATTGCTATGCCTCTTTGGCTTTGCCCTTCATTTTTTGGGTGTATGTACAATCCTGGGCAATGCGATAGCATTCTCGGAAAGTGCGTTGTTCTCCTTGGATGCTGTATACTTCCCATGGGGTGGGAAATTTGATAACTTGGTACAAACTGGAGGGGATGGCCTTCATGGCTTGTCCAAGGACGACCTATTATGGCATCGAAAGTCGTGTCCTAATCCATGATGTGGAATGTGGTCTCTAGAGTGATGCCGCCAGCCAGGATGGGGAGTGTGATTTCTCTGGACGTTCGTTCAACTACATTGTTAAAACCGGTTAGTGTGATGCAGTGTGGTACTATTCTATGCTCGAGTTTCATCTGTTCAAGTACTCGAGGATGGATAATGCACATGCCGCTCCCATCGTCCACCATAATACGTCCCACATCTATATCTAATATGTGTAAAGTGATAACAACAACATCATAGTGAGGAAAAAAACCAAACAGTGGGTATCTGACTTATCGAAGATGATACTTTATTCAAGTTCATCGTACCGTTAATGAGTGATCGACCGTTTGAGTTTGTGGGTGGTAGTGAATTTTACGATGTTGATCGATGCGTCATCACCCCCTCTGATGATCATTTGAATGGTTCAAGTTGGAGAAGGCAGTTTTGGTGGGCCCTAGTGTTGTTCACTCTCTCGAGCGAAGTTGGCCCTTCCTCGGTCGCTCAACATCTCTTTCAAGTTCCCTTGGTGAAGCATGTTCACGACCTCTTGTCTTAGAGCAATGCAGTCCTCGGTTTTATGACCTCGTTCCTGGTGGAATTCATAGAGGGCATTTGACTTCCTGGTTCGGGTCAGACCTCATCTTCTGCGGCCACTTCACTTTTGGGCCGAGCTTCTCCAATGCATAGACTATTTCTGAGCGTGAAACACAAAAATTGTGAGCAGATAATAAGGGAGGTATACCTCGCTCACTTCGGTGAGTCCCTATTATTGGCCTAGATGAGCCTTCATCGTGGTGGATAGGCGGCATGATGGTGCCTCTGACATATAGTTGAAGTCTTTCTCGGTTGGGCCGTAGGCCTGCTTGATCCCTTCTATTGTCATTTATCCGGTCTTTTTTGGACTCGGCTTGTACTGAGGTTAACCGTAGGGTTGTTCCATTTAGGTCCTCCTCGTCAGCTCGGACCTCAGTGCAATAGGCATTGTGTATTTCATCCCAAGTGGTCGGGGGATACTTCATGAGCCGACTCAGCAACTTTCTGGTCGTCCTTGAACTGCTTTTGTTCAACCCATTCTGGAAAGCTTCCACAACCGTTCCTTCCGATACACTCGGTAAGGTCATCTTTACATGGTTAAATCGAGCGAGGAAGTCCTTAGTCCTTCTCCGGGTGATTGTTTGATGGCAAATATATCATTCACTCTTGCCTCTGCCTTCTTAGCTTCGGCATGGGCGTTAGGAACTTGTCGACCATCTCTTCGAATGTTTTAATGGAGCGCGCAGGCAGCTGCGAATACCAAGTTAATACGCCCTCGGTGAGGGTTTCGCCAAACTTTTTTAATAAGATGGAGGATACTTGCTCTTTGGCGAGGTTGTTGCCTTTTACTGCGGTGACATAGTGAGTCACATGATCCTCAGGGTCTGTTGTGCCATCGTATATTTTCAGGTACGACGACATTTTGAAGGTTTTAGGTATGACATGTGATGCGGCGTCATCACTATACGACTGCTCAACAAACAGACCGGCGTCACTTTTTGGTAAGAGTTTTGGGGCGCCCGGTATTTTGCCTGCCCTTTCTTGATGCTCTTTCATTTGGTCTCGGAGCATTTTATTTTTGTTTTCCACCTCTTCCATCTTCCTTAAAACGACTGTGAGGGTTTAGTCACCTGCATTATTAACATTATGGATGATACCTGCTGGGGGGAAGGGCCGTGCAGCTCGACTGCTATTGGTGCAACGCAAGTTCTTGTGCTCTCTCTGATCGCCTTTTGGGTGGGTTTGTCGAAGATGCTGGTCAACGTGTTTGTCAGCCAAGCTTCGAGTAGCTTCTTTACCGCCGGTGGTGCCTCTTCCGTTGTGGACATGGAATCTCCTTTACCGTGGGACGTTGTGATACTGCCATGAGGAAGGGGTGATCCACATCGCCTGGGAGAGGCATTTGGTGTTATATCCTCACCCTCTGTTTCAGAGAAATCGTTGATGGTGTTTAAGAGGTTGGTGATGAGATCGTCTACCACCTTCATCCTTTCTTATCCGTTACTTGTCATCTTAGATCTGTGTGCACAAAAAGGTATAGGATTTTGTATTTTTTTTGTGGTTATAGATCTAGAAGAAACTAAAATTTTACTTAGGAAATTCCCACAGACGGCACCGCATTGTTTGATTAAAAAAAATACGAATCTTTGGTTAAACCAATTAATTAGATAGATAAAGGGTTATCCTAGTTAAAGATAATAACTTTAGATCTAAAATCGGCCTACGTGGATGATGTAGAATAGTGTCGGAATAGATTTAATGTAACATGTATTAAATGTTCAGGGTCAATAATGGGATAAGAATAACAAGCATTAAATAACAATAAATGACACTAAATGTAAATAAAAGAATGATTCACCCAATATTAAATGAGGTGGATGATTATTCTTTCTGACAATGATGAATGACAAATAACTTATGACAATATTGGAGACTTTCTCGAATCTGATGTGAAAAGTGTAGAATAATCAACCAAACGAATCTCTTTAGAAATGTGGTGCTTATCCAGAGAGTCGGCTCTTCATGAAAGTTCTTATTAGAATCAATAATACCTTCCTTTTACCTTATCTCTTTCTATTTATATGAGACATACCCCCATCAACCCTAAAAGTACAAGTACAAAGAAATTCAATGGAATATTCTCCTAAAGACCCTATTATAAAACTAGCCGTTACTGTTGCTCTCAGCATTTGACCTCGGCCATAATCGACTGCTTGACGATGAGTTCCATTAGTCATTAATCGATCTCGGCCGAATTAATTCTAATAATACCTCTTCGTGCCAAATTCCCTTAGTCAGATTTTGATTATCCTGATGGAGAACCTTACTAGATGGATTAAAAGGGTCCCAATTAATGTTATTCAACAAATATAGTTACTATTATAAAGTGAGGATGCATATATCGGACAGTATAAAAGCTTTCACAAATTTAAATTGAGTTTACATTATTTAGAACTAACTTTGCAATAGAAGATTACGTTATCTTAAATCCCGTACCCATTCGACCAACAATATCACAATAACATGAGACGCCAAAAATGATCAAAACGCAGGGGCTAACTCTGCATCTATATGGTTACATTCTCCAAGTGGAACAAAACGCCACTAATTTACAAAAACATAACAATAGAAATCATTGAGAAACAAAGTTGTTGGCTGTTCCCCTCAGTTGGATGATTTGGAGATGAGAAATTTGAGACTCTGTTGGTGACTTTGGTCCCAAAAGTTTAATGCTGTGTCCATACAATGATGCTTCTTCTTTCGTAGTATTCAACAATGACCTTAACTATATATATTGATAATATAAATTTTCTACATTATCTGCTCGCTTGAAATGTAATTGCAGGCAACTATATAAAACAATTGAACTACTAACCTAAACAATAACACAAGCTGCAACCTGATGCACTAGGTTAAATTGCAATGGGGTGTAAATATTTGATTGCACTTTCAGTAAATAAAAGTTTTAGTCGTACAGTTTCATCGTATACAAGACTGCAAGTTTGCCGTTTTGAAAAAGTTGGATTTTCATGCGCATAATTTGTTAATCTAATTTAATAATGTTGTCCGTCAAAATAACCTATTTGATCAATTTAGCACAGAGGGAATGTAATACAAAAACCTTGGATAAAGGCACTTGTAATTAGCGGAAAGGAGAAAACACATGAAATCATGAAGTTTACTGATCTTAACATTTTCAAATAAGGAAACGGAGCTGTTGTAAAGAAAAAGGGACAATATTATAGACACTTTACATAAAGATAATTTATTAGATTTTGGTTTAAGGTATATTGAAAAAAAATATAAAAATTGTGGTTTATGGTACATAGAAAAAGAAATGTAAAAATGGTGACCATTTTGTTAATGAGAAAATTAGTGGTTGATGCCATAGACCACAAGAGTATGTATCAAACAAAAATGTATGAGGAAACAACAAGACAATTAATTGGTGGTGCATTATATTTCCGCTATATACAAAAGCTTAAGTGGGTGTTCTAGTATATACAAGAGTTTAAGAAAAGAGTCAGACCACATTTTTGCAAAAAAAAAAATAAAAAAAATACAGTTTTGTTTATGTAAATTAAAAGCACATAGTGAAAAATCTATATTTTGGGCGTAAGTACGTGTATACAAACAATTAATACTAACCAACATTCTTTCGAGACCAAAGTCACCAACAAAGTATCATCTTCTGCTTCTTCTTCAATTTCCCCTTTGTATATCCAGTGTAGCAAATTTGACTCCTTTTATAGATTACTTGTACCATGTCACAAACGTACATTTCTTTACAACAATAGTAGCAAGTACATTGATTGTACTACAAGTAGTAAAATGTTGTCCATTTTATCAAAGTCCCAAGTTTTTTTTCGTACATCATTGTACTAGGTTCTTGTACTGCTAATATTATCCATCTCATTTCATAAACTTTATCCATCTCATTTCATAAACTATTGCGAGAAGTTTTATTTTGTGTCTCATATGACACTAGTTGTATGAGGCTCCTTTTTGTCTCACAAATTTGTGGACCCCAATCTTATACTTCTGGGTCCACAAAAATTTGGGTCCACAAAACTGTAAAAACAAAAAGTTACCTCATATAACTAGTGTAAATTATATGAGACATAAAATAAAATTTTCCAATTATTGCAAACTTGATTCCTGGAGCATTGAGTACTACTGAGTGTACTATCCATTTTAGAGTAGTACCAGATTTACAAATATAGAGTACTACAACTTCAGAAGATGCTTAACCTGATTTTTATATTAATATTACTTTAATCTAGACTAATCAGATAAGTTTATTCTCTAATTTATTCAAACTTGGTGGGCTTTACCTCTGATCCCATCATCACTTTATTTATTCTTTAATTACTGTTCTGGATCTTAGTTTAATTCACTAACTGCCTACTCTCCAAAATATGTTGCTTTCAACCAAAATATTAATTAGGCAAAATCCAAAAATTCCCTTTCTTCTATTTTTTGTGTAATTCGAGTCACGGTGTTAAAAGCTTGCTCACTATTCGTACCTCAGCGTCAACAAGAATATCAAATTGAAATGGTGACTCTTGGACAGGAAGAGATTAACCAAGTTTTTTTGTAGGTTAAAATTTTATGGGGGTTATCCAAGTATATGTCTATTACTATAAAGTCACTATTATAATTTTTGGTCATATAATAGTCACTCATTTATTTGTATGGAGGTATGAATCTTAATCATTCATATTATAGTTATTAAGTAGGTTTATTTTTTAGATTTGAATCTTAACCATTCAGATCTTAAACATTAAGTTTGTTTGTTTTTTAAATTTTACAATCACTTAATGAATCTTTATTGATCTTAATGGTTAAGATCAAGAACATAGTCTTAATATCATTAAGATGTTATACATTCAAGAGTTTATATAAATAATATTTCACTATTACTCCTACACTTTCACTACTAATTACCATTACCACCGCTATCGTTATCCCCTACCATTATAGCCTACCGCCACCCACTACCCACCACCCATTATCACCTTCCTCGGCGACAACCACCACCGTTGCCAAGCACGAATATCAGTTGTTGTTATCACTGATCGTCATTTACAACCATCACCACTAATTACCATTACTGCAACAACTATCAACCACCACTATATTTCACTCATCATATTATCAGTTACCACCACCAGCAACCACCACTGTTGACTACTACCCATAATCACCACTATCAACTAATATCACCACCAACTACTACCCAGCCGGCACCCAAAACCAGCACTGCTAGCCATCATCAATACCAACTACTATATAATTTTTTTTAAAAATATTTTATTAATATGGTATTAGACTAATTAGTACTATTTGATTTGAATTTATACTTAAAATAAACAAAACAAAGACAAGTTTTACACATTCAAATGTAGAGAAAACAAACACTCTTAATTATTCAGTATTCATATCTTAGTACAACATCTTAATATTCAGATGTGTATTTCAGATTCAGACGTATTAATCTTAATACACAAATTAATATTCAGATGTGCATTCAGATTCAGACGTCTTAATCTTAATAAAAATAAACACATCACTTTTTGTGTGGAAATGACACCAGGTAGCCACTTTTAAGTATGTTGTCTAAAATATATTTATATGTTTAAAGATTCTTGAAGTTTAAACCTCAAACTTCAAACTTCAGAACATTGTGTCCTAAAGTTCAAAAATTGCATTTAAAAATTCGAATCTTTTGTCCTGAATTTTAAATTAGCAGTTTAAAAATTTAGACACTAAGTCCTGAATTCTAAATTAGTAACTAAAAAATTTAGAATACTTAGTCTTTAAATTTGGATGTAAATTGTAGATATATTTTAAATAGAATGCTCAAAATTGGCTATGGTACACTTTGCCCCTTTTTTGTAGGTCCACTTTCACACCAAATTTTGTGAAAATATTGTTTTGTATTCATTGATCTAAGGTAAACAACATATGTCTTCGCAAAAAGATATTGGCCAAAGAACCAACTATGCGTGGATGTATATTAACTAAAACGATCGAACCAAGAATTTTAAATTAATAATTGCAAACTACTAGTATTACACTATTACATAGTACTGATTCTTTGGGGCAATGAGTGTCCTCTTAGAATAAACATAATATACAACATATATTCAAAAAATTTCACCTACATAGGAGTATATAGTTTCACTAAAGAATAGTAGCGGTCCTGCCAACTATATACATCCGCCACTAATGATTTAAAATAAAAGGATTATTGAATTGTAGCCTTGTAGAGAAGAGAAAGAACTTTTAGATTTGAATTAATGTGTAGGTGAAAATGATATTAGTATATTGCACCGGCATTCACATATGACTTTTAAATTAGATATTAATGTTCGAAAAACATACCCCACGACTGAATTGCAATCAATCATTTCTTTACTTAACCTATAATGAGAAAAGTCCTCATTCACATTATTGTAATCCATCAGCTGATCAATCAATGCGTACTCCCTGCTTTTATGTTTCACGATCTAGACTTTTGTAACACCTTGATTTTTTCCTTAAATTATTGAATATCAAAGTTAGTCAAATTTAAACTCAAAATTGAGTGTATGTTTGGTGTGGCATAAATTGAAAATATGATGCAGCGTGGAAATTATTTTATAAATTATTTCCACCGTTAATTGGGTATAAGACAGATGACATATGGTAGACATGTAAGGTGGATGATGTGCTATGAATATTGTGTTATGATGATATTTTTTAAATATAAAAGTTGATAATATGTCTACCTATTGATTAGAGCAAATAATGTGGAAAAAGAGGTAGAAATTTTACATTCTAACTACTTATAACGAATAGATTTTTTTTAACTATCAAATTTTATTAATTACCACAGCAATGCATTNTATATATATATATATATATATATATTAATAAAATCTTTGCAGCATTTCAGAAATCTCCAGCAGCTCTAAGCCTCTAACATTGTAGTGGCCGGCTTTCTCCTTTGCTATACCTTGTTACGCGCATCGGAAATTGTAATTACTATCAAGACAATTATCCCAAATCTACTTTGAAATATTAAGAAACAAAATTAATCTTTCACCAATTAAGTACCCTAATTTGTGTGGGTTTTTCATATAGAGAAGATCTATCATAGAGAGAAATTCATGTGTTCGAGAAGTTCTATGTCTTCTCTTTAATATAAATAGGCAGAGTAAAAGCAGTTAAGGAAGATAACTTACCACTGCCTTTTGCATATTTACTTTAGAGGGAGTTTTTGATCGTGTGATAATTTCTCTTAACCTCTCTTACTTATTTGTCCTAACAGGGTCGAGTCAACCCACATAGAGCGACCCATGACCCATAATATAACATCTCCCACTTCACTTGTAGTGGGTTAGACCGATGTCTATGACACATAATTTATATTGGCAATAGTTGGTGCGACCTGCGAGCATCAAGAGAAGTAACATTCCAAAACCAATTAAGGTTGTACTAAAGCTCTATGTAGAAATTAAATCACATGCGAAAAGAATTCATTACTAGTATGAGGATCTTATTACTCGCAATACCCCAAGATATCATTCTCTACTCGCGTAACTTGTTATCTGATCCCCCATCCTTGAAAAGAGGTGAACTCCAGTTCATGTATAACTTTATCCACAATTACACTTGTTGCCCCGTGGTAAGTGTAATTGTCGACCTATGAATATTTGTTATATTATTTATTTTAATTATCTTCTCTTTCTACTCGAACCTATCCATCCCAGATCAATTGCTTTTCTAGATATGCACCGCATTGCCGAATCACTCATAGCTATTAGTGACATTCTAAAGTAGCAACATTGATTGGTACTTTAAGATACGGTAAAAGGTCAAAAGGTATTCCAATGGAAATTCAATTTTGACTTTCTAGGTCTCACACAATAAAGAAGTAGGGATCCATTCTTTCATTAACCCACTGGTCGCTAAGCGCACGTGGTATGAAACATGTGCTACGGTACTCTTGCCTTATATTGGCACGTGCGTCTCATTATTATTTTTTTCTCGTCCAACATCGTACAGATCTTGGTCTAGACACCTCCAAATGTCTAACCCGAGTTTTTCACTTTAATAATCCTCAAATCCTGCTTTTTAGAGAAACTCACATCCGGTTTACAAAACAAGTCATAATCGACTAGTGGAATTCGTAAGTTTGACTAGTTGTCAAGACCGACCTTTACAAGTGAAATATGACCTCGCACTTTCAAGGTTCTATAAAGTCTCATCTCTTCACGGTTCTCAACGTAAGAGGCAATTGTTCGTGTGAGAGAGCCAATCTCGCGACTTGTTCGACACACTTTATCAACAAAACATCATCACATGCGTATGGGATATAAGCATAAATTCAAGAGTCAATATTGATGAGCATATTTTAATAATCAAGTCATTTTACATTATATAAATATGTTCACATCCTTCGCAAACCTAGAGCCATAATATTTTTCTCAAACAGGTCTCTAGATGTTGCCTTTTTAAAAAGATCAGCTATCATGATTTGTATAGAAATGTACTGTAATTTTCTCTCCACTTGCTACCATATCTCTCACAAAGTTATACTTGATGTCAATCTGTTTTGTCTTGCTGTGATACTTAGGATCTTTTTTGTATGCAATAGCCGCCTAACTATCACAATATAGAGTCATGGGACCCCGAGAGTTCTTTATAATATTCAAATGCTCAAAGAATTCCTTTAACTAAACAACTTCTTGTATTGCACACGCACAAGTCATGAACTCAGCTTCCATCGTCGAAAGGGTTATACAAGTTTTTTTCTTACTTTTTCATGAATAACACTATCACTAAGTAAAAAA